GCAGGCGTGCGTAGTTCTCACGTGCGCATTCGTAAGAATTTTTGGCGGGGACCAGAAAAGCTAGAGAGCTGAAATTTTAAGGGCATGTTTTTCCCCTAATATTTCGGCTAGTCTTGGTGGCCAGTCTCAATTCTCTTAGCCATCAACATCTGCTGGAAAAAACAATGCAGTAAAAGTGCGCAAAAGCTGAACTTTCACACCGGCAGTCAGTGCGCTGGCCAATTATTATACTTTGGGGACAGAGTAATTAAATGTCCAAATAAACGAACTGAGAATTACAAACTTTTTCCTTCCTCCTTCCTTCCACCTCGTCTCCCTGTCTTCTTTTATTATTAAGCAAGTAGTTATTCTCTTCTCTATCGACTCATCATCGTAACAGATTGTTTACTTTTTTCATCATTGTCACCTTTTTACACTTTTTTTAAACAGTTCAATCACAGTTTTAGTTTCATCTTTATTCCTTTTCAAACAATTCATCTACAACTACAGTTCTACAATTTTGAGTAATTATTGGCATAATCATTACAATTTGTTATTATTTTACAACAAAATACATTACATATGTTTACTCTTAGGAACATCGGTGCTTTATCCCAAATGCTGCTGCTTCTGCGGACTTTCCTAGGGGAAACCAATGACGGTGAGCCCGATGCCTACTTCCATGTCTGTCACATTGAATGCATTTTCAACATCCGTGTCTGTTTTTCCGAGACCGAAGACCATCGTATTATAGGGCAGTAGCACCCACTTCAAATCGTTCGCCAATTCTTCCCTTAAAATACTGCTTAAGCGCAAAATGGCTGCTTGTTGGTGCAAATTCTACAGTGTTTTGATGTCTTTGAAGTTTCCGACCAGGACTTCTGCTTCCACCTTCTCAGCACTGTCATACTGGAGGCAGTGTTATGCGCGTGCTAAGTGTATTCGTTGATTAGAGTAACACTTTTCCCGCGAGGACAGCAATGGAGCGAAACTGCTTGAAACGTTTTTTCACGACTTTATCGCTAGCTATGCATCCCATCAAATGAGAGCACAGATGACTTTGGACCGGGAGAAAAGACGAAATTTTTCGGTTAGCTCGTTTTGCTAGTGTGTAGAAGGCATCGCATATCTGTCAAAATTGTTAGCGATAGGAATATATCTTCTTTGGGAATCCCAAGAATGATAAGGTACATGACCTGCGTGGAAAGGATTTAGGGGAAAGGGTGCCTGGTGCACTTTCACTTGACCTGTAGCCACATTTAGCTCTTGACTAGGATTAAGCTGATTATTTTTCAGTAGTTCGAACAAACGATGGAGAAACAAACGTACTTGAAAAATGGGAACATTTCTTGCGAGTCGGTTGCACAAATAGCAATTTTTTGAGGTGACTTTGAAATACACTTACATTCAGTGGTCTGTAATATTTCAATTACGACTATAAATGACATCCTCTTACTTCAGTCGGACATCCATGTAGTTCGCATGGTTCCTTGACTTCGTCTTGACAAAGAATTTTGATTGTTTTAAGATACATTTTTCCAGAAAATTAGTCAGGAATGGAAGTACACGCATATCCACACACACACACACACACACACACCCCATATTTCTGCTTGAGGGAGACGAGGTAGTGGTGAAGGTGCATGTGTCTTTTTCAGCAATTTATGAAATAAAGTGATGGCTGTGGTGCAGTTCGGAAAGCATTTTTGTTGCTCTACAAATGGTAGGATGTTCAATTTCACAAGTAGAACAACCAATCCTTCTACGATTCGTTCATTCCTTTCAGTGGTAATTTGGTGCTGCACATGCCGGGATGTCGAATCCGTCATCAGCTTGCTTCTAACCAACTCTCGCAGGAGGGAGTGATCGAAAGCCTTGCCAGCATATGGTTGCTGTTGGCGCCTATTACCCTCGGAATACCCCCAGGAAGCAGATACGGACAGGATGTTGATTTTCAATTAATAGGACATAATGAAAGCATACCTTCCAATGTTCAAAAGAAGCATCGGAAGCAAGCATCTTTTCATCGCGACAAAAATAAGCAGTCGCTTGTAACGCTTCGCCGCCAAACAGGATCAAAGTTAACGGTCCACCATAGCTTAATGGCAAATCTGCTTGATTCTTGTCTGTGGAAGGGTTCGGAGTCACAGTCAAGCTCCACGATCCGCGCGATTCAGATTCTCTGCTGATGTCCATACTTAAATAACATGTAAGCAGAAACTACTGGGAATGAAGATTTCCCTTAAATCGTTTGCACGATATATACGAAAATTTTGTGACAATCTCCTAGCAGTGCGCAAAATCAAAATGCAAAAAAAAAATCTCCAATTTCATACAGCAACAAAGGCAAAACGTTCCAAAAACAAATTAACTTGTTAGCAGTTTTCTTCGCGATTCCTACTTGAATCAAGTAGCTTTCCTGGATATCCCCGAGCCGGATACTGAGTGCCTCAGACTAATAAGCCCAAAAAAAAAAACTTATGCAACGATGTGATCACATCGAAGTTCGTGTTATGTGAAAAACTACTGCTGGCATTGCTAAGGGAGCATAGCAAAGGGGAACCGAAATATGTATTTTTTGAGTTGCACTGAATTTCTATTACTTTCTAAATAATCAGAGTGATTTTGATAACTACTTTCTTTTGATACTGTCAATAAATCAAATTATGCATATAGTGTTAATGAAGCCGAAATTTAAAACTCCTTTCATGAGAGACGGAGGCACTCTGGAAGTAACAACCACCTGCTGGTCTAACCTATTGACTGCTTCCCTTTTCGAGGGTCGTTTAGAAACAAGCTTATGGCAGTTCGTCTCCTAGCAGATGCCAGTACCAATTTTCCACAGAAGCGAATGAACGAATTGTAGAGAGAATGGTTATGCCAATGGCTAGGTCAGGGCCTAAGTCTTCCACACGACAGTAAAGCAGCGCTACGTACCATTACATCATGTGCGCCAGTAACTCAATATACACTAGCTCAACAAAAGTTGCTCTGGCTATAACATAAGCGGCTGTAGAGAAACGCGTTTTCTCAAAGATTTTGCCAAATATGCTTTTTTTTTGAAAAATCCTAGTTGTGTCGTTGCTTTGAACTGATATCTGTACTGTTTACCTGGGCTTACACCCTTCGTTGCTGAGACTATAAATGGCTATCACACAAATTGGCATATTTTTAGCTTCCGGCAAAGATTTCAAGACATGACACATTTCTTTGGCATGTGTAATGGAACGATATCCGCCCCTAATTCTTCCCGTATTTCGGCATATCACAATAGCACCTCTGATTGGATTCTAAAAAATTTATTATTTTTGCATCACTGAAGAAATAAAAATAAATAGCAACGCGCACCAAGGTAGCTGATGCAAGCATGCGTTTTGTGCAGTCCGTCCAGTGAACGTTTGTCTGCTTAGTATTTTCACTGCTTTGCCTTTTGGTCTTTCCAAAAGTAGTAGGAATGTTGTCTGGTTCCTAAATTGCGGAATTTCACGTACCGGTACGTAAAAATTTCACGTGCCGGTGCGTAAAAACTGAATTTAAAATCTCGAAAAGTGAATGTCCATCCTAAATTTCACCCTCCAAATTTTCTGGCTTTCGATGGGTTTGTGCCTACAAAACCTTCATGTAGTCGTACGTGGGACCTCGACATACTTAGGAAATGAATTCGAGTTTGTGAAGCCCCTGCCTAAGCACGGAACATTCTGCTGGAATTTTCTACGTCTCAGCTCTTTTTGGCTCCCTGAGATGATTTTCCACGCCAAGATTTTTATGGGGCCGTACGTGCTGCTTGCGGGCGGAGGAAGGCTGAATTTAAATTTGCGCGGTCACATGTGAGTGGGGAATAATATCCTAATTTTCCAGCCTCCTAACGTTTGTAGTTCCCGAGTTGAAAGTTGTGGACAAGTTGCGCCGGACACAAACACACACAGATAACCCCGTGACGATATCCGTTTTATGCAGATGTTGCGCAGCACAAAACACATAGAAACACGTTGATGAGAGTTTTTTGGTGTTTATATATATATATATATATACATGTATTATATATATGTATTCGTATGCAAATATATATTGCGTGTGTATATATGTGTTTTTGTACGTTTGGATTTCGTCATTTACTGGAGTTCAACAAACAGAGGAGCTAGGGAAGAGAAACTGTAGAAGAATATTCCCCATCTGTGTACAACCCCAGAATACCGATATCTGAAAGAAAAGTTGGAAAAGTTTTGACAAAAAATTGTTGCTTTCCATTTTCCTTTTTTCAAAAAGCATTATGGTCCTCTGTCATCCTTGTAAGTCATTTGCAAAGAAACTGGCGCTCGGATTCACATCAAATATATTTTTGGAGGGAAGCGATCCAGGAAAGCTAAATTTCATGAAGCGTTCCCTATCCATGTGCGATCCCCTTTCTCAAAAAAAAAAAACTTTAAGGCATGTCAAGGCTTCGCGCACACCTAAGTGCGTTTTTAAAAGGTTGCAGTTTCAACCGTGCCAGTAAGACAACCAGTCTCTCTGCAAAGTATATATCTTTTCAACGGTAAATTGCTGCTGTGTTTTTCAGGAAGTCAAATCCGCCATTAGCTCGCTCTAACCAACGCTCAGAGAAAGGCGGCTTCAGCAGCTTTCTCAGTGGAGGTTGTTGCTGGCACTTGCTATAGTCGAACTAGATGCACTCGAGCATCCATCTCTTGTAGAGAGTAAACAGGGGGAAGGGGAGGGGAGGGGAGGTTTGGACTCCCGCTTTGGTGCTGTTTGAATTAAAACATTGAAATTCCTGGAGCACAGCTAACTGCCGTACAAATTTCGCTGCGATTTTCAAGTGCTGATTTTTAACAGAAATCAGCAAACTAGTTGCTGCCCGCAATACAGATATTAAGTGGTAATAAAGTATAGAAAATTAAAAATAATCAGATGGACAAGAATGTTTTGGCCACTAGGTCCAATAGATATAATATGAAATTTGATGACTGCTGAATGGCCCGTTAACTTTTACATTCCTAGTAGTATTTGCTACCAGAAGAAAAGGCGGCTGACCTCTTTTTTCCACCCAAAATATTTCTCGAAAAGCTGCTTGTTGTCTTCCGGTTTATCCGCAGATAATTTAAAGTTGCCGCTGAAGATAATTTGAAGTTACCGCTGATATCTTGCCGGTTGCACTGCACCGGAACCCACAATTGTCAATTCCAAAGCCTCTGGTATTCTGGGCAGAGGTGCACTCCAGCAAAGTTAAGCCACATCAAAATTTTAAGCCTTGATTTTTTGCGCATTATATGAATATGGCTGCTGGGTATTTGACCCTGCGAGTGGGAGTATCAAATATGATCCTTTCACAGAACAGATATTTTAAAAAGTTTAAAAAGAATAACAAATTTGGAGATGGAAAAATGATATCCAAATAGACATCCGGGCGTTCCAGTAGAGCTTTTGGAAAAACAATTGTGGATGTATCTCCAATGAGCATCGTTTTAGCGTCCAATGTACCAACATCCATTGCAGCTAGAAAACAGTGATAAAATTTTAGCAAAAATGATGCGACCAAATACCCGTGTCTGGTGTTCGAGAATTTAACTGAATACGATAAACTTGTACATTTGCACCATTTGCCAGCAGCAAATATTCTACTGTTTCGTAGCATGGCATCCATTTCTTCTCTGGCCTTTACCAAAACATATGGGGAAGCCTCTAAATCGTTATAAAAAATCATCGTCAGTTCTGGATGCCACATTTTCAACTGAAAATTTCATGATAATTGAAAAGGAAAATGATCTAGTCTTGCATATCATGCGTGGGCCACTGCGTATTTTGGCAGTTGGATCAGTCGGGATTCTTAACATCATTTTCTTCCGCTGTGCAACTGGCACTGTGTTGCCTGTATGGCTATGAATTTTTGCGATACGTGGCTGAAATCGTCAGTGCATGCAGAATGAGGCTGTTTCTTCTCATTGGGGTCTTTGTCCGTCCATTCGAGACCTGTGGAGAAAAACCTAGATCAAGCAACAGTGCCCTAGTGTGAATGCCCTACTGTGGAAAAGATCGTTCTTTGCTCGCCTCGTCTTCGACTGCTAGAAATCCACTCACTGTCTTGTTCTTACAGGACACATACCCTTGCTTTAGAGT